ATCTCCCAGAGTTTGACCTCCTAAGAACCCCTAAATGATGACAGAATAAACAGGATGTGTATTTCTCACTCAAGGGGTGGTATGTGTAGCTAGACCCTTGATGATTGGGCAGCATTCTATCCCCCGGGTGAATTCTGTTTCTCAGGTGCTATTTAGGACCCCTCGGAGAGAAGTTCTTTCTCTTCCTCTGGAAGCAGTATGGGATGCAAACTCAATTCTTGGGAATTTTGAAGCCATTTCATCACCATGAGGGAAACAGCAAAGATGAATCATGGGGTTGGTTAGCAAACCCCAGAGAAATCCAAACAATCATTGCCAAGGTACTGCTCAAACCATACTGTAAGAATAATGTCTAATTCCTACAGCTAGACAATTGTGTATTTTGTTTTAATGGATAGTGTTAGTATTAGTCACACAGTCGTGTCTGACTCTTTGTGACCCCTCGGACTGTAGCCCACCAGACTCTTCTGTCCATGGAAGTCTCCAGGCAAGAATACTGGAGTGGATTGCCATTTCCTTCTCCAATGGACATGGAATAGTAATTGAATCATTTCATTTTTATCTGCCCATGTTACAGCTTACTGAAATTTACTTCTCTTGCAATTATTTAAACTCATTTTATATGTTGGTTTAATAAGTATTATGAGGTTGCAGTTTTCAAAATAACAGAATATAGAAATGAAAAACATTTGAAGATTACTGATCTAGAAAACATCACAAAACATCCATTCCAAAGCAAAGTTATCTGAAATGTGACACTTTTAAATTTATTTGAATATCTTTGTCATTTTCTCAAAAGAGAAATCAATGAAAAATACCTTTCATGTTTCAATGGTGAAGTATGTATTATTTGGTTTAATTAACTAATAATTGCATCGTAATTTCCAGTGATGATCTTTCTTGAAGCTATACCTCCAATGATATTTATTTTGTTGGATTTTTAAAAAATTCCCTCAGAATAAATGTTTTAATATTTTTTCCATTTATTTTTATTAGTTGGAGGCTAATTACTTTACAATATTATAGTGGTTTTTGCCATACATTAACATGAATCAGCCATGGATTTACATGTATTCCCCATCCCGATCCTCCCTTCCACCTCCCTCCCCACCCCATCCCTCTGGGTCTTCCCAGTGCACCAGCCCCAAGCACTTGTCTCATGCATCCAACCTGGGCTGGTGATCTGTTTCACCCTTGAAAATATACATGTTTCGATGCTCTTTCTTCAAAACATAAATTGTGTGGTTCATACACATATTAGAGCTTCCCTTGTGGCTCAGAGGGTAAAGAATCTGCCTGAAATTCAGGAGACCCAGTATCAATCCCTGGATCTGGAAGATCCCTTGGAGAAGGCAATGGCTACCCACTCCAATATTCTTACCTGGAGAATCCCATGGACAGAGGAGACTTGCAAGCTATAGTCCATGGAATTGCTAAGTGTGGACACGACTGAGCAACTAATACACACATACACACGTTTTAACAGAAACATAGAGCATTTTAATAGAAACACACATATGGACATATACTTAAGAGATTTTAACTTTTAGGACCTTAGAATGAATTTGGAGTTCTTATTGTCTTAAATAATTTCAGCGAAAATACAAAAGAAAATGAATTAAGTTACAGTAGGTGGTAAAACTCTACAGTGTACAGTCCATATTTGTAACCATCTGGATGCCTGTGGAGAGGAGAAGAATATAACTTTAACTGATATGTTCTGGTCTGAACAGATGTTTCCAAACCCACCTGGAGGATGTGTCTCTGAAAACAACACAACAGTTCCAGGTGTAACATTAGAATTGTTAGCAACAAACTGCTATTTGCTAAAACTAATAAACACAGAACATCAGAAGTGTTTTATAGGGGAGAGAGTCATAATACACCCTCATTGAGAGGTACCCAACAAATATGTGTAAGTGCAGCCACACTCACAATCATGTTAAGAAAAATGTATAAGTCCTGGAAGTAAAGCAAAAGGATGGGTATTTGTGTGTGTGTTTATGTGTGTGTATTAAAATACTTTCACACATGAGAAAATCCTCCCTGGCAGTAAGTTTCAACATTCCTTCTCAGCTGAAATCTAAGAATAACATTTTCTCTATTGAGAGGCATTCTGTCCTGGTCACACTCCTGAACTGAAAAGCAATTCCGCCATTTACATGCCATCATCCTACCCTTTAACGTGCAATGACCAGCTCCTGCCTATTTCAAGTGTGACAACCAATCATCCAGCATCTTGTCCGTAAGTGCTACCCCTATTGTGTAAAAGCAAAAATCAGAGAGGAATCCGTAAGTTGGGGAAAGAAGAGGAGAAGAAAAGTGATCACAAATAAAGATTTGCATTTGTTTTACACGTGGTTTTTTTGGTGGGTGGGTGGGAGGGCGGGGGGCATGCTCCCTAAGGCAGGAATGAGGTAAAGGTGACTGGGACAAAATGGTGATTTCACCCTGAACATACAAGTGGATTACCAAAAGCAGGTATTTCTCTTTCTGAAGAAGTGAGAGGAAGCCAAAGAAGTTATATACCAACTTCTGATATATTCAAATTTGACATAATAAGCTGTGGATGCTTTAATTAGTGTGGGGTAAATTATACAAGACGAAATAAAACATCAAGGTAATACGTCAACATGGGAAGTATTTGTCTGAATGTTTTAAAATTTTTCTGATGAGATTAACAATTGACATAAGAAAGTCTGTTTTTATACAAAACTGGAAATCAGTGTAAATGGTGTCCTTTTTAAAGCAGGTTTCTCAAGTGGCTCAATGGTAAAGAATCCACCTGTCAGTGCAGGAGATGCTGCTTTGGTTTCTGGGTCAGGAAAATTCCCTGGAAAAGGAAACTGCAACCCACTCCAGTATTCTTTCCTGGGAAATCCCATGGACAGAGGAGACTGGGGGGGCTACAGTTCATGGAGCTGCAAAAAGTCAGACACAACTTAACTACTAAACAACAACAACAAAGAATCATTTACTTTCAATGATTCTAATATTTTTGTTTCTCTCTGTTTCAGAATGCTGTCCCCAGTGCCTACTAGGATTAAATTAGATTTTTCCCTCAAATTAGGAAGTCTGTGTTAATTTCCAACAGATGAGTAAAACCAAACTAAATTGCAAAGTTTATTGCTTATTTTTGTTAACTCCCTTACCTGCTGGTGGCAATTATGATTTAGGGTTAGAGGCACATAGCAAAGAACTCCCAGAAACTCAATAACCAGACAGCTCGGTTCTTGGAGTTAAACATTGAAAAGGAATCTCCTCGTACATAATGTAATTTGCTTGACAACAAAGAGGGAATATTTTGTAACTGGACTCTCTAAAGAATACCTTTATGGCTTTGAGTAATATATGACTTCTTACCAGAGTAAAGTGAACTAGAAGTTTTAAAAAATTAATTCTAAATTTTTCAATTTTCCCTTGAAGAAGAACTCTCTCTATTGCACTCCTGCATGTGCAGAATGTGGGAATCAACTGATATAAAGAAGGTTTCCAGGGTGCTGAGACACAACCTCGCACCGTATTTCATTGTCTGACCAAATATTTAGGGAGCAAATCAGAGCACAGACATGGGGCTAGAACTGTAAACAAATAACTGGTTATCTAAAACGCCAAGGCCTGCAGAGTTAATCTTGGACTTTGCCAGAAACAGGCAGCAGGCTTCCCTACAAGAATCCGGATATCGGTCTGTTCTGGGGCCATAAATCCCATGAGCCTGATGTGCTGGGACATAGATTTCTCCAACAACATTCTTGCCTTTCTTACTCATGCCGGACACTGTGTTCTGCTTTCAACTGTCAGACACCGGCACAGATGCTGATGGACAAGAGAGGCCCTCCCTGGTGTTTATCAGCCTCAGTGAGTTATGTGAGATGCTCTGCGTTCCTGAACGTCCTTTTACGGTTATTATGGACATACAAGGTTCTAATTCTTAAGGGGCTTCAGAAACGCTGCCCCACACACCACTTTGGCATATTGGTCACTTTTGAGCTGGAGGTCTGGAGAACCAGCAGACACAGGAAGAGCTGTCTGACCTCCCATTTGCTCACCCAAAAGCAGGTCATCAAATTCCCATGAGAAGGGTGCCCTCCCTGGACCAGGAAGATCGGAATGTTCTTACTGATGCTGGAACGAACCTGTACAAGCCACTTCCTAAAATAAGACCGAATCATCCATTAGACTCCCCCCACATATCTCCCAGTCCCAGTCCCATAATTTATCACCCCCAATCCAAGCCCCTTCTCCTTGTCACCTCCCCACTGTTCCTCATTCTTTATATAACAGACATATCAGCTTTGGAAATGCAGAGCTTCTTCAGATCTTCATTTTTCTTCTGAACACTTCCCTGTGCACATAAAAGTATTCAACACAATTTGAATGCTTTTCTCCTGTTACTCTGTCTTGTGTCCATGTGATCCATGGGTCAGTGGTGAGTCTAAGAGTGTGCAACGGAGATTTTCCTCTTCTACGAGCTCACCTTGTCTTAAGGCTTCTTCAGAGGAGTCCTTCTCCCTCACATACTCCTGAAGCTTCTGTTTCTAACAGGGGATGACTGCAGGGCTCAGTGGATGGGGTTGGGTTGGGGGCTTCCCTGTGAAAAACTTCTCCTCTGACATCTAAATAAGACATGAGTAAACCTTGAAAGATGTTGTCCATCCAGCCAAAAACATGCAGAATCTCCTTAAATATTTGTGGAGTAAATATCTATCACCCCATTAGTTTTTCACATGGAAAAACCAGCAGAGGTGGGACTCAGTCTGTGGGACTGACAAGCCATTGTGGGTCGGCTTTTCTTGTGTTTGGAGCTGACTAAACTGCTCATTTTAAAGTGAAAAAGAATTTTTCTGAAGTTATTTGCTGACTGTGCACAATTTGCATCTTCAGAGTGATACAGTGCAATATAGTTGGATTTTTTTTAAGTAAAATATGAAAAAAGAAAGAGCAAAGAGAAAATTGTACTTCTCTCTCTAGGAAAAAATGTAATTCTTCAGTAATAAACCCTAAGTTGAAAGGGATACAGAGGTGTATGTATATGTGTGTGTGTGTGTGTGTGTGTGTGTGTATCCAGTATCAACATGGTCATGATGGTTTAGTTGCTCAGTCATGTCGGACTCTTGCAACCCTATGGACTGTGGCTCACCAGGGTCCTCTGTCCATGGGATTCTCCAGGCAAGAGTACTGGAGTGGGTTGCATTTCCTTCTCCAGGGGATCTTCCCAACCCAGGAATCAAACCCAGGTCTCCTGCATTGCAGGCAGTTTCTTTACCAACTGAGCTATGAGGAAAGCCCAATATCAACATAACTAAAGGTTTTCTGGTCATTTTCTACTTAGATGCATGTCTATGAGACACATCACTCAATCCCTGAGCCCCCAGCTCAATAGACACTAAACCTTCACAGCAAGCAATGTATGAGACACTGGACACAGATAATTTGGAATAGATAATGCCTAGTTCACACTTATTAAGCTTATTATATAATACTTATTACTAAAGTAGAGAAATCCTATTATAGATGTTCATTTCAGTTCAGTCACTCAGTCGTGTCCAACTCTTTGCAACACCATAGACTGCAGCATGCCAGGTTTCCCTGTCCATCACCAACTCCCAGAGCTTGCTCACACTCATGTCCATTGAATCGGTGATGCCATCCAACCATCTCATCCTCTGTCATCCCCTTTTCCTCCTGTCTTCAATCTTTCCCAGCATCAGGGTCTTTTCTAATGAGTCAGTTCTTCGCATCAAATGGCCAAAGTATTGGAGTTTCAGCTTCAGTATCAGTCCTTCCAATGAATATTCAGCACTGATTTCCTTTAGGATGGACTGGTTGGATCTTCTTGCAGTCCAAGGGACTCTCAAGAATCTTCTCCAACACCACAGTTCAAAAGCATCAATTCTTCGGTGCTCAGCTTTCTTTATAGTTCAATTCTCACATCCATACATGACTACTGGAAAAACCATAGCTTTGACTAGATGGACCTTTGCTAGCAAAGTAATGTGTCTGCTTTTTAATATGCTGTCTACATTGGTCATAGCTTTTCTTCCAAGGAGCAAGCGTCTTTTAATCTCATGGCTGCAGTCATCATCTACAATTATTTTGGAGCCCATGAAAATAAAGTCTCTCGCTGTTTCCATTGTTTCCCCATCTATTTGCCATGAAGTGATGGGACCAGATGCCATGATCTTAGTTTCCTGAATGTTGAGTTTTAAGCCAACCTTTTCACTCTCCTCTTTCACTTTCATCAAGAGGTCCTTTAGTTCTTTGCTTTCTGCCATAAAGTTGGTGTCATCTGCATATATAAGGTTATTGATATTTCTCCTGACAATCTTGATTCCAGCTTGTGCTTCATCCAGCCCAGCATTTCACATGATAAACTCTGCACATAAGTTAAATAAGCAGGATGACAATATACAGTCTTCATGTACTCCTTTCCTGATTTAGAACCAGTCTGTTGTTCCATGTCCACTTCTAACTATTGCTTCTTGACCTGCATACAGATTTCTCAGAAGACAGGTCAGGTGGTCTGGTATTCCATCTCTTGAAGAATTTTCCAGAGTTTGTTGTGATCCACACAGTCAAAGGCTTTGGCATAGTCAATAAAGCAGAAGTAGATGTTTTTCTGTAACTCTCTTGCTTTTTTGATAATCCAACCAATGTTGGCAATTTGATCTCTGGTTCCTTTTCCTTTTCTAAATCCAGCTTGAACATCTGGAAGTTCACAGTTCATGTATTATAGATGTTACATTGTTCCATCAGCAGCAGCACCTTGTGAGCTGTGAAGACAAAGCACTTTGCCATATGGCATCCAGCTAGCAAGCTGCAGAACACTTTGGATTAAAGGATTCCCCGAAAACAGCGCCCACCACACATATCCACGGGGGTCGGGTGGTCACAGAGATTTATGTGTTCTTAGAGGACAGTCTGTGTCGGACTGTGGGATCATCATGGGCAGTGACTTTGAGGATTGGGAGGCTTTTTCTAAGTTTTACTTTCTTTTAATTTTTATTGGAATAGAGTGGAGTTACAATGCTGTATTACTTTCTGCTGTGTAGCACAGTTAATCGGTTATACATATACATACATCCACTATTTTTTAGATTCTATTCCCATATAGATAATTACAGAGTATTGAATAGAGTTCCCTGTGCTCTAGATGATGTAGATATTTATGCATTATATAGATTATAGTCTATAAAATTAAAATATAAGTATTATATAATATATATGTTATATATTAGAATAAAATATATTACGTATTATTGCATATTTCTATATAGTAGATACATTATTTGATCTATAATTATATATATTCTGTTTATTGTGATTATATCATATAATACAAATACTATATTATATAATATGCTATATAATTTATAACATTGTATATTATATATGTGATATTTAATTTATATATAATATATATAATATAAATTGTACTATATATGTACATATACTGTACAATTTATATTATATATAATATACAGTAGTTAAGTGTAACTGTCCACTATTATAGCATGTTATGTAGACATATGACCATCCTTATGAAGCAGATGGTCTTGGTCACTGCACTGGAGCCCATCTCTCCCCTGCCAGGTTTACTGGCTGCTCTACCTGCTGTGTAAGTCCCTCCCTGCACCCCGAGATGAACTGCTGCACCCCATCCCTCCCAGCCAGCCTGAGTCCTGGGGTCTGATTTGTTTTACAGCCTCACGGTAGCTCTTGTCTCATCGCAGAGCAAGTTCAACTCTGGCTGTATTTGTTCAGGCTGATATCCGCTCGATACCAATTGGCCGCATGGTCCCCACATCACCACTCGTCCTACCCTGGTACCTACGGTCACTCTTCAGTCAGTCAATCCAGAAAGACTGTCCAGCAAGGGCTAGCTTAATGAGTCAAATACTAAGAACCATGAAAACCTTGATATTTGAAAAATGAATATGTTTTCAATAATCAATTCTAAACTGTACCCAGTCGTGTTCGCCTACTGGTGAAAGTGGATGCAAATGTCTCTCATTAAGCTTAATGAGATGTGAAATAGGAGACTGAAGTTATGAGCATGAACACACTCAGAGGAAAGATCCAGAGCCGTGAGAGCCCTGAGCCCGTGTCTCTCACCTGCCAGTCCTCACTGTCCGGCCTAGATGACCCCTCTGGTCCTCTGTCCTAGGTGACCAACTCCAGGGAAGTACCACCCCCACCCAGGATTCTGCCCCTGAGAAAAAGTTCACCTACAATAACACATTCGGGAGACCCTCTTCTCTGCTGAAAAGGATGAGGAATCTTACCTAAGGCATCTAAGCTTGTAATTCAGATGTCTTATTCTTCTCTTAAATGTGTCCAAAAATCTTACCCTTAACATGGAACTTATGTGAGCAGGGGGACCAATCATGAAAATGAATGCCTCTCCACACATTCTTGCTGAGAAGTGGGCTGGGGAGGGGGGTTTGGGCTAACTCCACCAGCAAGGAGCAGAGCCTGGAGGAAGACAGCTCTAAAATAACAACCAGACTTTCCCTCTTCATTTAAACCTCCCTCACAGGCTGTTAACATTCCATGAAAGTGGCTGACATATTTGTAAAAATTACTGTATTTCTCAGCCTCGGGGGAGGCCCTGCCTGAGAAACAGCATGTGGGCTGCCTTTGAAATAAAACCTCAGACCCAGAGCAAGAAGACACTGTGGACCCAAGGAACCCAGGTCCCCCCACGGGGAAGTGCAATTTCCTGTCGATCTCTCCAGTTCCCGGGGAACCCAGGACCCCAAGGGCACAGGGGTCCCAGGCCACTGGTCCATGGGGGCCCCTCACCTTGACATCTAACTGTAGTGTTTCTCTCCCTGAACCTGAGTCACCCAGCTTCTTCTCCTGATCCCTGAATTCTGCACTTGCCTCATCAGGTTGATTGTGAGAATTCCTGCCATCCCAGCCTACTCCCAGCTTCCTGGAGAAAGTGTTTTAGACACCTTTTATGAAGTAGAAGGAAGGAGAAAGCACAGTTCTTGGATGCCCTGTTTCTGAGCTCTGCAATCTTTAACCTTGGATGGAAAAGGGCCATGAGGAAGGGATGACCACAGCCTCCTGAAGTGACCGTGACTGGAACAACACCAGAAAGTGATTGGGCCATGTCTCTGGTCGTGGACTCTGACCCATGGGCTGTAAATTCATCTGTGGGCACAGGGGGTGGGTCAGGGACCAGCCAGGTCAATGGGCCTCGTGTAAAGAGGATGGTGGAGAGCTCTGCACAGGACTTGTTTCAGAAACATGAGCTTTTAACATTCATTTGGCTCCTATTTCTTGAGTTCCCATCAGAGGATGGCAGGGGCTTCAGAGATGAACTTATTTACAAAACAGAAATAGAGTCACAGATGTGGAAAACGAACTCATGGTTACCGGGGGGTAAGGGAGTGGGAGGGATAAATTGGGAGATTGAGGTTGACATACACACACTGCCATATACAAAATGGGGGCTTCTCTGGTGGCTCAGATGGTAAAAATCTGCTTGCAATGCAGAAGACTCGGGTTTAATCCCTGTGTTAGGAAGATTCCCTGGGGAAGGGAATGGCTACCTACTCCAGTATTCTTGCCTAGAGAAATACATGGACAGAGGAGCCTTGCTGGCTACAGTCCTGGTGTCACAAAGAGTTGGACACAACTGAGCCTCTAACACGTTCACTTCACTTCACATGTGAAATAGATAATCAACAAGGACCTACTGTACAGAACAGGTAACTCTACTCAATACTCAATAATAACTTATATGGGAGAAAAGTAGATATACATGTATGTATAACTGAGTCACTGTGTGGTACACCTGAAACTAACACAACATTATAAATTAACTGTACTCCAATAAAAATTTAAAAAAAGAAAAGAAATGAGAGACCTGTTGGTAGAGGGCAGACAGAGCAAGAAAAGTGCACAATAATGACTTGAGGAGGTAGCTGGAAGGTGCAAGAACACAGCATGCCAGGGAATCCAGACAAGCCCCATTCTCCCTCTAAAAGTAGTCACACGTGGAGAGTCCACACTCCAGGGACTGGTGCCTGATGAAGCGTGTTAATTATTGAATGATGCAATTAATTTCCATTGTACAAACAGCTATCTGTGTGATCTTTGTCTTGGACTCTTGGATGAAACCTGGTTTCTCTTGCTCCTCAGAATTGAGGAAAAGTGACCAGCTCTAGATTCCCTGGTCACATTATGAGTCCAAGATTCCAAGGTGGCCTGAGCAATAATAAGAGAAATCGAGGTGATTATCCCTGATCTAATTAAGTTGTAATTAGGGTGCAGTAATGTGAGGGGCTGCTGACTTCCGCTCCTGGGA